GGTGTGTTACAGCCAATTAATTTTGAATGTGCTGCCTAACTCAATGCAATGCACCTCAACACACAAAAACATGCTTCTATTGTGCGGTCCTCTGGGAGATTAAGGGCCCCACTTGGAGCCCTCCATTATTTTCACGTTGACCCCCACTGGTATGAATAATAAGCTGACAGCACAACTACAACGCCAACAGTTTGCGCAGCGCTTTAAAATATAAGGAAGACATTACAATTACAATACAATTTAAGACAAGATGGTAAGGAGGGCTCTGCCCATGAGAGCTTACAGTCTTAAAGGGAGGGGCAAGTTATACATGAGGAGGTAGCTGTGTGGGGATGAATTGTTTGAGAAAGTGATAGTTCAGTGGTTAGTTTGAGGTGGGATAGGCTTCCCTTAAAGAGAGATGAGTCTTTAGTGATCACCTAAAGGCAGTCAGAGTGGGAGATAGACAGACAGGTTGGGGTAAGGGGTTCCAAAGGATAAGAGACTCTAGAGGAGTCCTAGAGGTGAACATGGAGGAGTTGACAAGGGAGCTAGAGAGCAGGAGGTCTTGGGAAGCGAGGAGGGCACTGTTAGGGTGATACTTTGAGATAAGGTTGGAGATATAGCCGGGGCAGAGTTGTGGATGGCTTTGTTGTGGATGGCTCTACCAAGAAAGAGGGAGTTGCAATAGTCAAGACGAGAGATATTAAGTGAGAGGATGAGGAGCTTTGTGGTTTCGTTGGTGAGGGAAGGACATGTTTTGGAAATGTTACGTAGGTGAAGGCATCAGGATATGCATACTGATTGGATGTGGGGCAGGAAGGTGAAGTCAGAGTCAAGGATGACACCTGGGATGTGGGGGGGGAATATCATGAGCTCAGTTTTTGAAAGATTGAGTTTTAAGAAGTGTTGTAACATCCAGACTGATATGTCCGTTAGTAGATTAGTTATACGCAAGGACATAGAGTTGTGGAGTGGAGGGATACAATTGAGTCTCATCAGCATAGAGATGGTATTGGAAGCCATGCGAGGTTATCAACTGATCAAGGGAGGAGGTGTAAATAGGAAAAGAAGGGGTCGAAGGACAGAGCCTTAGGGGACCCCAACAGAAACGGGAAGAGGAGGGGAGGAGCTAGATGTGTAGGTGACACTAAAATAGCGCTTAGATAGGTAGGAGGAAAACCATAAGAGAGCAGTAGTCTTGTAGTGGAGTTTTTGAGGAGCAGTGGGTAGTTAACAGTGTCATAAGCAGCAGAAAGGTCTAATAGCAAGAGTAAGGAGTAGTGGCCATTGTTTTTAGCAGTTAGTAAGTAATTAGTGAGTTTTATGAATGCAGTTTCAATGGAGTGTCGGGGTGAAAGCCGGACTGTAAGGGGTCGAGGAGATTGTTATCAGTGAGGTGGCGGCTCAGGTGGTTATAGATTAGGCCTTCTAGTAATTTGGAGGTGAATGGGAATAAGGAGATTGGCTTGAGATTGTTAAGGTTGTTGGAGTCCAGTGAGGGTTTTTTTGGGTATTGGGGTGACCAGTGCATGTTTTAGAGGGGAGGGAAAGATGCCAGTGAGAGGGAAAGATTGAAAATGTGAGTAAGAGGGTGTAGGATATAGAAAGATGGTGACTGAAGTAGTGGTGAGGGAACAGGGTCCAAGAGGGGCAAGAAGTGAGGCGGGTGTCAGAGAAGAGTTTTGTAACCTCCTCTGTAATGGCAGGGTCATAAGGTGACTGGAAAGTGACTGATGCCCCGAATTGCATCAATTTTGCTTTTTAAATGAATGGCAATGTCCTATGCAGTGAATGAGCTAGTGGGCAGAGGCGGTGGAGGACATAGTAGAGAGTTAAAAGTAGAAAAGAGTTGACGAGGTCTAGATAAGAGTGTTTTAATGAGAGTGACAAAATAACTCTGTTTGGCAGCACGGAGGGAGGAATTATATTTTAGAAGGTCAGCTTTATACAGTTTTAACTTTTGCAGAGACCTAGTTTTACGCCATACTCGATTAAGAGTGCTTCTATCTCTTTTAAGGTTTCTGGTTTCTTCTGTTTGCCAAGGTTGTAGTGGGCCTAAGTCTGCATGTGATGAGAGGAGCCGTCTATGCACATTTTAATATGTATAGACGTAGTATACACATAGCGAAAGCCTGCAACGCAGTCAGTACAAACTGCACCACCGATGAGCCTGTTTGGACTCCACAACAGTGATGGACATAAGTGTTGTTCCCATTTAGTTCATAGACCTCACAGTCATATGAGTTTTAGTCCTTGTAGTTCTTTAGATGATATACACTCTTTGGGCTGCAAACTTTATTCTAATTGTGGCTGGTGTTATGACCGGTTATGAGCTAGATTATTTACTAAACATTAAAGTTGCTTATAGCTCATAAATAAAATTTTAGGAAAAGTTTCCTAAGCGAAAAAACATGTTGCCTCATTATTGTAAAACTAAAGACTGGTGAAAATTATTAAAGTTGTGAAGCACTTTGATCTGTTCCCCAATGAGTGAGCATTTCTTGTTTTATGCTGCTTACCAACTAATGAAGGGATAGCTTTTATCCTTGCCAGTTTTCTTCTAGGAAACCCTATGCACTAATCAGCTGTCCCTGCTAATCAGTCATCTGGTCAATGACCTTTTCACATAAATCTTAAACTGTGGCTGGATAAAATTGAGGCTCTGAAATCAGAAGGGGCCTGGTTTGTGTGTTGCCTAGTGTCCTACTGAATTGGAGACCAAAAGGTTAAACAACAAAGTTATATCCTGCCTGAGTGATAAATCTTTAGTAAAAGACGTGAACTCTAACACCTCAAGATACAATCCATTACCGAAGTAAGGAGCTGTTTGTTTTCAGTCCTGATTTTTACTAAACATAGATGTCCCTTACCTCATCTGTGTGAATTAACAATACTTCACCTTTTTTCGTTCATAAAAAAGTATTAATTACATTTTATTTTTACATTTTACATTGTATTAACACAGGCACTTACTACTTTTATGTGACCAAAGGATTTACCTTACATTGACTAAACCATACACTGATCACACTAAAGAGATAACTGAATTTGATTTACTACACATAAATGTATACTCCAAGTTTATGTTCACACAGGTGTAAAAGAAAGCTACATGAAGACACTTGTGAATACAATATACTGTAGCACTGAAACCCTTTTTCGGTGCATTTTTGCCATATTAAGCATTGTTTAAAGCTTTTAGAGCACCTTTTTACCCCTTCATGACCATAACATAACTTCACAAGTCCAAATGTAAAATTCCACTTGCCATGACAGCTTAAGTTAACCATTTGGAAAGCTTCAATGACACAAAGTAAATGCCTGTTCTTTTAATCAGTTTGGACCATGGAAATGCGATATAGGATTATATATTATATATATTTTGCCTGGAGTGGTAAAATGTCAGGGAAGTAGAAGTTGCACTTCTTCTCACTGTCAATACACTGCCCTCAGATGCCTGTACATGTAACAAATATCAGAGCAGATTAGGTCATATAAAATGATAACTGATCAGTGTGTGGGCCCTTAAATGGCATGTGGTGGTCATTGGAGAGCTTTTACATGACCGTATATTCTTAAACTGCATAATCCAGAGCTTTGGACAAATGTGTATGGACAAATTTGCTGTAGACTGTGGCTCCCTCGCCCAAGCTGTGTCCAGTGACCTAACCTACCCATATATGTGCAGCTTCATTATTACTTTGCAGTCACACAGGATTTTCAATCTGCCAAAGTGTGGTTTCTGCATTGGCATTATGTCGTACAACAAAAGAGTTATGGGTTTTACGCTGCCCAAGGTATCTCCCTACAAAAAAAAAAAAAAGGAGGAAGAGGCTTGCCCATCCATGAATCAGTTGCCGGGGTGTTGAGACCTTCCAGTGATTACAGCTGCGCATGCATGATACCTTGATCCTATCCCAACCCTCCCAATCAGAGGAAAGGATTAAGCCCCACTTGCATTTAGGTGTTCCCAGAAGTTGTATGATCTCCATGTGTGATGCCACAAAACTCCACCAGCACTAGCCACTCCTTATTGTCCACTAAAAGTACACCATGATCATTGCATGTGCTCTTAATAGATGACTGTTGGGGCATTTATGGCTACCCTCCAAAGACATGCTGGAAGGTTAATAGACTCCTATCTAAAATTGGCCCTTGTATCAGTGACGTGCCTTCTGTGCTGGGTGAGGCATCCCCCAGCCCACTGAAGCTCCACCCCTGTCCCGCCGAAGCCCGACCCCGCCCAGTGAAGCCCCACCCCTAGCTCGGTAACCAAGCTGTGTGGGGAGGAGGAAGGGGAGAGACAGGGAGGAGCCTCCATGTCCCTCACTTGCTCATCACTGGTGAGTCACAGCTGAGGCATCGAGATCGATGGTGTTGTTTTTGTTTTTTTGTTTTTATTGGACAGCTTGGACCAATGGCGCTTTGCCGTTGGTCCAAGGCATCCACACAGCTCACGCCTCTAACACAGAGTAGAGGCTGTGGCAGCTCTTGCCTCACCAGGTTAGGTTACACAAGCAGTGGGGAAGCCCGCTGCTGTGTAATCTAACTACTTGTCAAAAGGTGGATGCAGTGCTGCCTGTAATTAATAGACAGCGCTCCATCCATGACAGGTTACACAGCAGGGAGGCTTTCCCTGCAGGTTTCTTTCTGCCTAGTACGTGTGCACTACAATATATACAATTTTTCCTGAACGAAAATCACATTCACAGTTATAATTTCATGTGTTCACGTAGTAAAGAAGAAAACTTTTGATTTTCCTCATCACTGCGATCAAAAATGAATGCCGATTAGACCCCATTAACCATTAGAGAATTAAACAAACATTCCAAACACAGAAAATGTAGGACACAATTCTACTGGTGTATGGACAACTTTACAACTGTATATCTATTAACTGTTTTATGGGGCTTAATGAAGTTAGATGTTAATAACTATATGCATATTTACTGCATTAGTATCCTTTAGAACATAAAAAACTAAATTCACACTAAGTAAAAAGACATACTATTACTCACGATAGTGTGGATCAATGTAACCATTTCTTGGATCCATTGCAAAAACAGTGCCACGATATGGAACAGAAGGTTCAGGTAGATGGGTTATAGATCCATGGATTTCTTTCTTAATTAATGAGGCCCTTTCCTCACTAGATGTAGAAGGCTCCTCACTGATTTTGCTAAGGCCTTGCCCTCCTTGTGGCTGCATGGTAATTGCATTCCTTCTTTCTCTGTGATAGGCCTGAATTGGACTTTCATCCTCTGAAAGAAATAAAAAACAATCAAAAATATTTTCACTGCTATGCCATATGAAACAAAGTATGTTTTTACTATTTACCTGTAGTAGAAACACAGACAGTGTGAAATTTCATCGTCATCATCATTCTATAGAAAAAATAAACTAACTCTGATCCAAAGAACACACATGTCCAGTAACCGTAATAAAAGTTTGAAGTTCTATTAGTAGATTTAAGCGGCTTTGACTGTCAGGATTTGCCCGGTCCTGGTATGTCTACTTCAAATGCAAAGAAGAAATACATTTGAAAACACATACTGCAGGTATTCTCCAAAGAATATGGCTGACCAAATGGGGACACAAAAATTGCAATAGTAAAGGTATAGCATCTTTGAAAAACATTATGGGGTCTATTCACAAAGCTGCCGAAGGATCTAGCCGTAGCTTCTGCTAGCTTCGACCCCAGGACCACTTCGGTTCAGTAGAACCGAAGGGCTGCTGTACGGGCTATTCACTATAGCCTGTACAGCTCCGTAGTTGGCCGAGGGGCCCAGTCGAGCCGAAGGCATATGCTTCGGCTCAACTGAGCCGAGGTGAAAGCCAAAGCCGGTCGAACATTGGCCGGCCGACAGCCTGTTACTGACTGCTGGGCGGAGCCAGCCGTCATCTCATGGCTGGCTCCGGGCCAATTGCACAGACAGATCAGCGTCCCTGGTTACCAGCTAACGAGGGTGCTGATCTCCAGACAGCCAAACTCTCCCAGACGCTCCGGGAGTCTCCCGCTATTAGATAGTGGCTCCCATCCGCCAGGGAGAGGAACACTTTCTCCCGGAAAGTTTTACTCTGCTCGATCGAGCAGAGTAAACCTTTCCCTGCTCTGTTGTCTTTTTTTTTCCTTCTGACATCGGAGCCGTTGGCTGCCGTCAGAATAAAATACAATTTTAAAAAACAGCATAGGAATGCATAGCTACATTCCTATTGGCTATTTCAATTTGCAATAGCCAATAGCAAACTAGCTATTGCAACCGCCCACTGCTGCTGTCAATCAGCAGAGGGGACCTGAAGTTCTCCATCAGGTCCCCTTCTAGTGATTGACAGCAGCAGAGGGTGGGTTTTTTTTTTTTTGACGGCAGCAGAACCACCCGGCCAATAGAAAACAGTTGGGCGGAGCTAGCTGTCACTGCGAGCTCCGCCCAATCGTTTTCTATTTTATTTTTTCTACTTTTTTAACTGTTTTGCTATTCTGCCCGGTACCACAGATGTACCGAGCAAATTAGCCAAGCCGAATGCCGCTATGAGAATAGGCCGAACAGCAGCGAGTAGCCTGCCGGAGGTTCGGCTCAGCTGAACCAAATGTGGGATCGGCTGAGTCGAACTCCTGCTGCACTTCGGGTCGGCCGAACATGCTGAGCATGTTTGGCTGAAACGAAGCCAACCGCAGCAAGCCGATGTACGGCTGATTTTAGTCAAGGTACGGCTGATTTTAGTCGGTGTACGGCTGAAATCAGCCGCTCGGCTCACTTCACTTCGGGTCGGTTATTCACTCTGCAAATTTGTGAATAGGCAGCTTTGTGAATAGACCTCTATGTCATTTTAAATTAAACAGATTCTATCACAAAGTTTGCTCCTTGCTTTCCGTTAATTGCTAGAATCACCAGCTCCGTTCTGCAAAAAATCACACTTGTTACTTTAAAAGCTGACAACTACAAATAAGTGTCCTGCCATTGTTAATTGCTGCTCTGTGCTAACAAATGGTTGCAATGAGCTGTACTTATTTGGACAAAGATTAATTTTTTAACCAAACAAGCAGGTGCAATTAGTGACATTTTTTACCACAAAGACTCTAAAGATGTAGGTGGGAAAATTAAAGAGGAACTCTAGATAAATACACCATTGAAATTATTTTAGCCAAATTCCAATCCATCTCAAAAATTCAAGTTCTTGCCTGCCTTTTATAGTTTTGTATTGTCTATAGAAGCTCTTTTCTAAGTGCACGGAGCCTTTTCTAAGGCTCAGGACAAATTTACCTTGCTGCTTTATAAATTGAGGGGTCACTGGTATCTTTTTCCATGCAAATCAGATATGGTTGAAATAATGCCTTATTCATTTGTTAGCTATGTAGAATAAAAAGTAATCATAAAACAGTGGGGGAATTTAAAAAAATGTGTCTGAGACCAACTTTAACCTCCCTGGCGGTCTGATTATGCAGGATTTTAGCATGCTGAACGGGCAAAACGTGGAAGCTGATCGGTTGGTATGGGCAACCACACCAGTTGAGATAGAACATGCCTCAGGCACTTTTTTAAAATTCCCCCAGTATGTCTATTTTCCATAAGCATTTGTTTATGGTTAAGGACAAATGCAAACTATCTGCAGTTTTACAAACTTAAAAAATCTTTTGCATCTTTTTGCAAGGAAATATTGGCAATCATGTTTGATCTGGGTTGATTGTCCTACCATTCAACAGCAAATAATTTAGGTATTCTGTACTTTTTTTGGGAGACTGTGTAAAGGCCTATATCAATGTTTACCTTTGAGCCATATATTTATATGAAAATGTTTTATACATCCAGATGGATATACAGTATCAAGGTGTGATTTGACTGTGGTTTTTTTTTTTTTCAAGCATACACTATGGGTTATCTTATGTTGGACAGATTATACACCTGATTATGGTTTGGATCTCCCAGCATGCAACTGGGAAGGCTTAAAGGTATCTTGAAAAGGAAAGGTTATTTTGAATGAATGATCTGCAAACTGACATTTAAAACTGAAGCTACAACCAATTCTTTATCTAGGTTTGGGTAAAATGGAGAAGAGTCCTTATTGATGACTTTTTCCCTGTGTGTCAGACTGACATTCTTTCCTAGGATCTCTTGTGGCCAGGAAAGAGAGTAAAGGGAAATCAAAAGTTTACAGCTGCCTCCAGAGCAGGCCAAGAATAGAGATCTTCAATGAGAATGGCTGTTCTGCTGATAACTGTCATAGTTGATAATTCCCCTAAATTTAGGGAGCTCTTCTCTAACTTTGTGTTCTGTCTACAGGTCATAGTTGAATAAGGACAGCAATACAAACTTGATAGAAGATCTACCCCTCATTAAGTAGAAAACTACAAATTAATTTTAACCTAAAATGTATTGGTTTCTATTGTTGCAATTTTGACATGTAATCATGTTGTGTTTAAATATTATGGTTAAGTAGGTGACAAACCAGGAAACAATATGCGGTGGTTTGTATATGAATATATATATATATTCATATATATGTATATATATATATATATACACACACACACACACATGCACACACACATGCACACACACATACACACAATACATATACACACACATTTAAAAGACTTACATTGATAAATCTCTGTTTTAGGGCTCAGTGTTATGTAAATAGTTTATCCCTCTGGCAGTAAAAAAACTGAGAGTTCCCAGGAGTTCTTAATGCAAGCAGTAAGTATTAGCAGCTGTGACATTACAATGTAAGGGAAAGAATAAATCACACCAAACTTTTGCACGTAGGTTCTAACTTATTCCTTGTTCCGGTTCTATAAAACACATTTAGTGTATACATAACAGCTACAAGAGCTGAGGAAGAACAGACAACCCTCTTTTAATTTTGGGAAATACTTATCCTTTACCTATGCTCATATATTCTCTTTTTGAGTACAGATCATAAAGCAAGGATTTTTCTAGTTTTGTGTTTACAGTGATTGGTAGAAGTGTGAATTACATGTTCCATCCTACAAATAACTGCAGAAATGAAAGGTTAACCCAGTAGACAGCATAGCCAGTAACATATACTGTTATGATATACATACTTAAATATAAAGCACAATGCTCTTTTTGAAAAACTATGACTTAGTAAACTGTGATTAATTATTTCCGAAAGCCTTGATTGAAAGTTGTAATTGAGCTCTGTTCTGTTTTATCTTAACTTCACAAACAACATCCCTTAATTGTGGATGAAATCATGGAAATTAATTCCAGGTTTCTTCTGAGATTAGCAGCTTATAGTGGGCTGATTTATACCAATTATGTTGAAATAGTTGGACTAGAAAGCTTTTACAAACTTCTCTAACTTTATGTAGCTTGCATTGGTGACACAGTAATAACATGTTAATGGATTTCTTCTCTATCAAAAAATGGTATGATATATTTCTTAGTAACATCTACAAAGGTTAATAAAGAAAAGAATATTTTTAACAACATTGCAAATCAGGCCCATTTTTACTAGGCATGCATGTAAAATTCTACCCAAGTGGCAACCCTGACTGCACAGCAGAATCATAGTGGGAAAGGGATGGCCAGAATTTAGGGCAAATTTGGCTCTACTGTAGAGTACAGTAGGGGGGTGCTGTCATTATTAGCCTGCTGCTGTTTCTTCACTGTCCCATTATCAGATTGGAAATGTGCCCTGGTTGTGCTGTCTGTATGCAATACAGGGGAGCTGGAGCACTAAGCTGAGGGGAAATCACAAAACTCCAAGGTGGGTGAAGGCAGAAACAGGTATTGAAGCATATGTGAGATATCACTTGTGAAGTACCTAACGGATAAAAGAAGCCAGGAGGTGACTTGGTCCACCAGACTGTACTTTTAGCTAAAACATCACTTACGGATAAATGATGATTTAATCAAGTAACTGTACACACTTACACATGACACAAATGAATGTAACATAATTAGATGACTACTTAGTTAACTACATAATTAGTGACATAATATCATTTTTTGGAATAATGTAACAATTTGTTGAAAATTAATTTACAACACATTTACAACAAATTATTGGATATGCACCATTTTCTTTCAAATTCTGAAAAAAAGATTATTCATCATATATCAGTAAATTATAGAATAAAGATATTTTAAATAATATTTTTAAAGGAAATGAAAGAAATGTACCTGAAAAAAATAAGAATTCTGTATTTCTAGTTGTGAAATATACATTTTATGTCATTTTGAAATGTACTCAATAGCACTGGAAAGCATCTGCTTTGTTTCCCTGTTCTTAGGTT